CCCTAGTCACCATCTTGGATCTTCCTCCCTGTTAATTATTTTAAACAATTTTTTCCTCCTTTCTCTGATGAGAAACTCCCAAGTGTTAAAGAACTTTTTTGTTGAAAGCATAATTCATTATTTTTCCTTACATATCAGAACAATTTCTCTTCTACACAATTCTTTGCATCCAACAAATTCCATTAGTGTATATCTTCCTGGACAGCAGAAAATTTTAATGAGCACTTAGAAGTTATGAAATAGAGGTGAAGCATCCTCCTACATGTGCACAATTTGAATTTAAATTCATATCTCTGTGTGATATGAGGATCAACCTCCTTTGTTTTCAATGTTATTTGCACTCATTTAAATATGGTTCATTGCTACTTATAAGACAGTCACAGAAAAAGACATTCCAATTAGCTGGTAATTAAATACTTTCCTCGCTGTCTTGTAGCCATTTGGCAGAAGATACTAGTTGAAATGTTTTGGTAAAAAAAACTCTTGTTTCTTTCATGAAAGCATGTGAATAATTTGTCTCTTGACTCAATAATGGGATAGAATATGTGGGATTACAATAATAGTCCCCTTCTTTTCAGTTCCAGATTCTAGTGGTGGGGAATGGGAGCAGGGATTTGGAATGAGGACAAACTTATTTTCCTTCAGGAATCTAAATCTTATAGAAGATGAATAGGTATATGGCACATATGTATTTACATTTATATACATAGATAATATACATACAACCTATATATTTGATACAATATATTATAATATATATAATGTAATACAAAATTATAAAAGATGGATATAAGGTATACAAATATTATTATACTATCTGGAAAAGATATCCCCCAAAGACATGTCAAAACAGACCAGTGTTAGTGAGTTTAAACACAGTTAAAGAACTGTGGTGCTACTGAGAAAACCAAGTGTACCAGCCTCTACAATATTAGCTTTTACTTTCTTCTCTAAGGCACACTTTCAGAAAAAGTGTCAGTCTATATGCTGTACATCTATGAACTATTATAAGTAACTATTATCAAAATTTCAGACTTCTAAACTTTCATGTCATCCATATAAAATCTAACTTGAAACAAATGAAAGCATACACCAAGATGCTTAGAATATTTATCTTGTTTCTGGTTCTTTAAGACATAGGCAACATTTATTCTACTGTGCTTTTGTTTTGTAGTCAACATTTCTACAAAAGACTTGTTTTATATTTATATAAAAAGTATCCTAAAAGAATAATGCTTATATATATATAAGCATCAGTAATATATATGCTGTGTATACATATATATATATATATTTACACAGTGTGTATATGTATATATACATATTGTGAGCACTCAAAGAGCTCACAGTTTAGTAGCTTAGTAGTGGAGGTGGACAAGTAAAGAGACAATTTCAGGCCATGTGGCAAATACAGAGATGGATTTAGATATTGTGCCAGTGGTGGTGGTGGAGAGTGAGCTTTTATGGGAGAGCAGTAGGGTGAGAAGTGAGAGAGAAAGGATCAAAAAAGCTTCATTGAAATGGTGTTGCCTGAGGTAAGACTAAACCATACAAAAAGGAAGGCAAGGTCATGCCAGGTATTTGAGAGAGAACAAAGTCCATAAGCTACAGAACAGCATGGAAACCATGGCATGAAGGGGATATAGGCAAGTGACATGCTGTGGAGATGATGAGTTTTAGACTTTGCTAGGATCACATTGGCATGATGTGGAATATGAATATGAAGCTTCACAGAGGCAAGAAGGTACATATTGCAAGACTTGGAGCATTATCAGAAATAAGGAAAATCATAGTGAGGAAAAAGAATGATTGTTTTGTACTTTGATGTCTGATTAAGTCAAAATTTTAAGCTAGAACTACTTGATTGCAAAGTGAAGGCTTTTCCTGTTCTTGTGCTCTGCCTCAACTGTGATTTAGTACTGGTCATGTAATTGCAAATTGAAAGATACCCAAGAAAGCCCTTGATATCATATGCATGCTATGAGTATATGATGCGTATCAATTTTTTTCAGGAAAGAAACAGCATGATCTCCCTGTAATTTTCAACATTTAAGAATCCAGAGCTAACACTCTTAGCCTAATAGCTTTGACAGCTAGTGTTCATTCTGGTGCTTTATTTTGAGATCAAATGCTCATAGTGGAGGATATTTTAAAAGCACATTAAGTAGTTCTGCTTTAGGCAGTGCAGTGGGCTAAAAACTCTTAAAGATTTTCTGGCCATAAAGCAAGATGTTGGATACATCACAACAAAAATATTTCCAGATGCAGCATTATTAAACTAAGGAACATGAAGAAGTCTTCTGAGCCAAGCACAACCAGAAATTTATAGGAAAAAAACAAGAGAAAAGCAGATCTTGGGCAAGTGAAGAAAAATTCCAACATAGGAACCCAGAGATTCACAGGATATTGATTGGTTGGGAAGTGGGGTTCTTGGGAGGGATTCCTGAGCTTAGACATGTAGAAGTCAAGTCAGGGACTGGTTTGAGGCCTTCCATTCTTCTGGCTGCAACATCCCTAGGGAAGGTTGTGAGGAAAAATTCTTGCTCTCCAGGAAACCTTCAAAGGGAATCATTCTGCCACTCCTATATCCAGGTGGAAAGAAAATCATAATGTCAGTATGAGTAATGATGACATTGATAGACTCCCCCAGTTATCTGGGGTCAAAATTGTGTCATGAGCATCTGAGATTTGAATATATACCAATTAGAGAAACTGTAGGATGTGAAATTATGTTAAAGCCATATCAGGTTTCTAAGACCTAGTAGGAGCTTAAACAGTTTTTGTCCAGAGAAAGGCATCCTTACGCCAGCTTCTCCAGAGTTCTTAATTATAAGTTCATAATCAATAAAGATAAGAGAAATCAATAAATTCAAACCACAGAGGACTCAAAAATAATTGTGTTAGAAATATTTATATTATTAATAAAAGAATTAATCAAAATAAGCAAAGACCAAGTTCACATAAGAATCTTATACCTACTAGATAGGTAAAAATGAGAAAGATTGACTATACCAGGTATGGTATATAGAACAACTAGAACTTCCACAAGGAGAAGGAAGGGTATAAATTGGTACAATTGTTCCTACTAATTTTGTAAAGCTGAAGTATAGACAGCCTATGACTCAACATTAACACTTTGATAAATACCCTCATATACACTTGAGCATGAATAAGAATGAAATTTACAGATCAGCAATGCTGGTAATAGTAAAACAAACAACTTGCACAGACAGGAAAATAAATTATGATTTATTATATGATGGTTTAGCGTTCAGCAAATTATAGCTACATACAACATATATAAGCTCAAACAAAATAAACCTCAGAAATAATATTACATGACAACAGAGGAATAAATACTCTATGGTGACATTTGTGTAAAGTTTAATCATTTAAAAAACTTAATAGTGTATGTTAAGGTTATATATGTATAAATATATACATATATAGTAAAACATAACATGATATAATAGATGATAATAAAAGTAGTAATAAAATAAAATGTAATATGTATATATTTATATTTGTAATATTTATAATATAAAATATAAGCAAATCAATTATAATGTGAAATTTTAAAATATGAGAGTAGATGAAATAATAAGAATACAATCAACTTTAAAATTACAAATTATGTTCTTTTTTTTAAGCTGATGGAGGTCACTTAAATTCTTGTTTTAATATTTCACTTGTTTACCTAGATAAAAATTTTGCTATATATTTCCATATCATTCATTTCCATTATTGTAATAATTTCTTTCAGAATAAAAACCATATATTTATAAAAGTGAGACACTGACATAAAAGGAGACACATTACACTGTTAACTTTTCAAATCTGTATAATTTATAAGTATCATAGTGTGATACTCTCAGAAATAAAAAACTGCATTTAGAAAAAATGTTTATCAGCTCTGAAAATCAGTTTGTAAAATCATAATTAATTAAGTAATACTCATAAAATGTCCCAAACAAAAAAACTTTTCATGCGGTTATGCCATGCATATTTTTGACCACAGAATCTTAAGAGAACATCTACATTTTTAAAATATGCAATTATTTCACCTTCACCTTAACTTTTCACTTGCTCCTGCTCATGTTCTAAGTAGAATGGAAAGAATGCCAATTATTATGATGCCACTTGAAAGTCACTTCTTGTGGTTTAGTTTAGATTTTTTAAAGAAGATTTTATGGTTGGTTCAGTTTGGAATTTTGAATAAGTATCAGAATCAGGTCAATTTGTTTGGAACACATATTCCAACGCAGTGCCAAGGTTGCAATTCATGAGGCTTAGGATTTCCTTCACACTATGGGCTAGGTTAGATGTAGGTATGAAGAAAATATCTTTCTTCACCCCTTCAGTCCAAACCTACACTAGGTCAAGTTTTTGTTGAAGAGATGGCTGGCTTTATGATAGTCATTTTCTTCCAGTGGAGTGAGCTCGGAGGGTTTTTGAATTTCATTTAACTTAGTGAACTGTATCCTCAAATTTCCTACAATACAACTCTAACTTTTCATTTTGCTTCATTTCCCTTTTTTAAATTTACAAATAATATGACAAAGAGAATATAGTGAGTTTTGATATCTGATGGCATTCACATTATATAAATGAGCACATTTAAATTTAATAATAAAACATTTTAACTTAAACACATCTCAATATAAATAACTTAAATAAAACATTTCTCTGAAATGAATTCATTATTTGACAAATTTATAATATAATTTTATTTATGTTTCTGGGACTGTAATGACTGTTAGCTGTTTGCAGGCTTAAAATACTGAAACATGTTGAAATTCTTCTCAACAATGTATTCTTGAGAAAAATTTGCTTTGTTACACATTGCTTCAGTTTCTGAATGAAAGTTAAAATGCAGTAAAGTTCTTCTAGTTGCACAGATAATCTCATTTCAGTATGTGGAATAATAAATTTGAGTACCATATGACCTTCTTTCAGTGTATGAACGCCTGTCATGACTCTTCCTCTGCATGTTGCTTTAGGATAGCTTCCCAGCGCGATTTGGAGGAATTCATTTTGTCAATCAGCCGTGGTACATCCATGCCTTGTACACTGTGATACGGCCTTTCCTGAAGGAGAAGACTAGGAAAAGGGTATGTTTGTTTTTTTGCATTTAAATCTGTTCTATCTCATTCACTGAGTTGGGATGCATACAGTATGTATTATATTGGCCATGGTAAAATGTGCTTCTGTGTTATTATATAAATATTCACTATAAAAGATATTTTATAATTCTCAGAAACCTTGTGGTTAATTCTCAATGGTATTTTATGAGTGCAGTATTAAAAAATAAGCTCTCCTACTTTTCTCACAAAAGGGAAAGACCTTTTAGTATATCCCATATGAAAGCCTCAGTGTAACAGAAAAAATGCTAGGTTGCTACATTATTATTAGAACAATTAATTTCAAGTAAGGTCTAATTTTATTTGGTAATAAATGCGTGTTTGTTATAATATGTATTGCAGTGGCTATAGTGAATTTTGCAATATCTGCTATAATTGTATAATGACTATCGTAATTAATCTGACATTTTGAGAAGTGTTAATGTGTAGAAATTTTAGTATTTCTTTAAGACACATGTACTTCCACTTGTCTAAGATACAATAGCTCTGAAATATGCATTTAAAAATTGGTCAAAATTTGTTTATTTTTCCAAAACATGTATTTTTTATGGAATGTTCACATCAGGGTAAGCGTATTTATCTCCTAAAATATTCATCATTTCTTTGTGGTGAAAGGATTCAAAATGTTTTCTTCTAGCTTTTTTTGAAAATCACAGTATATTATCACTATCTGTAGTCATTCTACTGTGACTTATTTTTCTTATCAAATCCATGAACCAACCTATCCCTATGTCTCTTCCATAGCCTCTGGTAACCATTATTTACTCTCAACTCTGAGAAGTTTATTTAGTAAATGTTGTCTTCTATTTCAGAGCTGAGGATAAGGGTGAGGATGGATAAGTAACTTGCTTGCTCAGAGACGCAGCTGTAAAATTATAGAGAGACTAGCTAAACCGAAATCATCTAGCTCCACATTTAGAGCTGTTTCTATTTCCTTGTGCTGTCCAATTTCCAAATGATTGGTTCCACAGTAAAATATACTTACTTCTGAACCTATGTAGAAGAAAATAGTTAAGTGTTTCTCAATGATTGAGAAGGAGCTTCTGGTATTTCAGTATTGTAAAGGCCTCATTGTGTTTGGAAAAGTGCACTAATTATGTGTTCGATCAAACATTAGTGAATAGAGGGTTTACTGTGTATGAATTTGTGGCAAATGTTCCAGGAGTTTAGGAGGAAGAACATTGTAAAGAATTATAATTTATATTAAGAATTGTTTCGACCATCAAGAATCAAATTAAGCATATTTTGTAATCCAGAAAGGATATTGAAGTACTTTAAAAATGTACTTTCAAAGTTTGTTTTATGAAGGAGTGATCAGGTTATACAAAACACCTGCTGGGGCTTTTAGTACAAATTATACTAGTGAATGCTTATGCAGTGTTCATTCTGCCTCATGCTGTTCTTAATACTTTGCGTATGTTAACTCACTTATTTTTTACAACAGTGCTTTAGGGTAGGTATTTATTGGTATTTTTCTCATTTCATAGATGGGGAAATGAAGCATAGAGGGTTAAACAATTTGCTCTGAATCACAGCTAGTAGGTATCAGAGCTGTATGTGTGGATTTATAGGGAAGAAAGTTCCAGGCAGAGAGGACAGTAAAGACAAAGGTCTGAGGTAAACACATCCATGTATACATGTATACTGCATTTGAGAAATAGCAGGGGGGGGCCAGAAAATCTGGTGAAGAATGAATTAATGGGAAGGGCAGCAGGGAATAGGATAGGAGGGACTATGGTGTAGTCCTACACCACCTGTATACCACTGCAACAGTCTGGGCTTCTAGTCAGAGTGAAATAAGATGTTCTTGAAGAGTTTTGACTATAGGGGTAGTTTGTTCTGACCTAATAATAACATGATCCTGCTCTATTGATAAAAGACTGAAGAAAATCAAGTTTAGAAAACAAGGAGACCATTGGTTTGAGGGTTTTGTAGTTGAATTTGACAATATCAACAATGCTAAATAAATACATTCCTAGTACTTTTCCAGAAAAAAGGGAGGTATTCTAATTTTTACCATTTTAATTAAAATTACATGAATTAAATGAAAAAATATAGGTAAATTCATTTAATTTCTACTTATACAATCAATGTACAATGCAAAGCTATTTCTTACTTAGATTACATGCTATTTGGTATCGCAATATTACTCAAACATCTCCCACTTAAGATGCTATAAATCTGAAAAACTGGTGAAAGAAAACCTAAGGAACAGTTGTGGATCTTCTTCCATAAACTCAAGTGTACAAGAAACTTCTAGCTCTTTACTTTCCTAAATTACATCTGACTTTGTGTTTCCAGCATGCTGAGCTGAAAGAAATATCGTCATAAGTGTTATAATGTGGATCCCTTATCAAAATTTCACCTGGAATCTTTCATGCCATGCTTCCCACCCATCATGACCACTTCTAACATCCCCATTCTTCAATATTATCAGTTCCTAGAATTAAGGTCTCCTTCTGCTCCTAAACAATCCATGAAAAAGGGACATCCTTATTTTAGCTAGAATCTAAGGGCTTAGCTGTCCACTCCTTCAGTTCACCCTTCAGGTAGTCCATGTGTGCTTTTGGTTTTGCCACTCTCTGGAAGCTGACAGGAAGTGAGTTTCTCTACTAATTAGCACAAATTTCTATATCTTTCTCAATATGGTAGGCTCTTTCTTCTAATCTTTGTTGATTCTCAGAGGTATTTCACTGTCTTCCTTTACACATCAGGTCACTTATAATATCTCTTTAGTGACACAGTGTAGGAAAACAAAGTAAAAAATTGTGAGTATTATTCAGACAAATTCTTATAAATGTAAGGTACTGTGGGAGAAAGGAGTTCACAAAGATCATACTTCTTGCACGATGTGAAGAGGAAAAAGAATAAGGAAAATAAATGCCCAAACTCCAACAAATGATGTTAATATACAGAACTAATCAAAACAAAGGAAAATCTAAGAACAAAAGTTTAATAGTTGAGCAACTGTGGTGCATCCTTATTGCCTAGCTCAGAGGAGCAATTCATATTTAGAAGTTCTAAAATGGTATCTTTTTTTTAACTGAGAAACCATTCTACATTAAAGGAGGATACAAATAATTAACAATAACAATTTACAGACAGTGACAATTACATGCAGTGATTATCAGTGGATTGAATTCTGGACCAGAAGAAAATAGCACTGAAGGTGATAATTTATGAAACTTAAATGAAGACAGTGACTTAGATGGTAATAAATTTTGAGTATATATAAGTATAAATTTTTCTGACCTTAATCGTTTGGTTAGAACAATGTCTATGTCATTAGAAAATACACAATAAAATGTTTGGGGGAAAAGAAGCATGTTGTTTCCAAAGTATTTTTAAGTGATTCAGAAAAAGAAGATAATAGATAGTTGCTATATAGATGAATAAAACAAATTGTCTATAATATAAATTATTGTGAATATATCTTTAGAGGGTCTACAGGAATTCCTTGTATTGATCTTTCTGCTTTACTACTAAAATAGTATCTTTATATGATATATTTTAACTAAATCTTGGATTTGGAGAAACAATGATATTATTTTTATGAATCTTCAAAGCAGATATGCATGATGTAACTTAGAAAATTCTGTATAGTAAGGTGGATTGTTTGTTAAAAAAAAAAAACATGATTCAGAAAAGTGAATAGTCTTTTCCAGGTTGAATAGTATTACAGTGTTAACTAGGTTCATCAGGTAAGGCTTTCTTGAGAGGGGAACTTTTAATAAAAACTTTACAATGTGGGAAATAAGTTATGAAGACACCTGGAGGCAGAAATCTCCAGACAGAACTTTGCAAATGTTCTGAGACATATCCATGCACAGTGTGTCTCAGCAGGGAGTGAATAGCAGGAGATGTGTTTAAAAGTAGTTCTTATGGGATCTTACAGGGTTTGCTTAAAGAGAAAGGAGAAGTCAAGGGGAATTATGAACAGAATGATATGATTTGGCTCATATTTTGACATAGTCATTCTGACTGCCATTTTGACAGTAAAGTGTAGGTAGAAAGGCAGAAGTAGTAATATCAGTTAGGAGACTAGTGCAGTTGTATAATTTACACCCTTATGCTTATAAGGGTGGAGTTGGGCAATATATAGGATAGGTTGTGAAGATAGCACCAAAAGAATTTACAGATAACTTAGATGATGAAAGAAGCAAAGGATTAATTGACAATTTTGGTCCGAGAAACTGGGAGGATAGTCATAGAACTAACTGATGTTAGAAATAGAGACGAGCAGATTTTGGGGTTCAGTTTTTCAATTTTTGAGTTAAATTTTGGACCTATTCTATTTGAGCTGCCCATTGAACATTTAAATGCAGGTGTTAAGTACAGAGTGGAAATTCAAATATGGAGTTCAAGGGAGAAGTCTGGATTCAATACAAATAATTCAATATAATAGGTGAATATTGTAAAGTCACTTACTGAATGAAATAAAATGAATAAAATTACTAAGGAAGGAGAATAGTTAAAAAAGAATAGATTTAAGAACTGAAGACTTCATGTTCTTCAGCATTAAGATGTTGGAGTGATTAATAAAAGAGGCTAAAGAAGAATCTAGCAAGGTAGCAGAAAATCAGATGATACTGGAAGAAAATGTTTTCAATGAAGAGTCACCTACTTTATCCAGTGCTGCCAACAGTTCAAGATAAATGAAGACTGAGAATTGGACTTTGTATTTGGCAATGAGTATGATCTTGACAGAAGCTGTTTTCATGCAGTGGTTGGAAACAAAGCCTGTTTGGATTGGGTTTAGGAAAATGGGAAGAGAGTATGTGGGAAATGTAGATAACTGCTTTGGTGAGTTCCGTTATACAAGGAAGGAAAAAAAATATATAACAACCCGAGCTGAAAGTATAGCCAAGAGAGGTTTTATATGTTTCTATGGGGGGTAGTGGAATCAGGATGATTTTTCTCAAATAGAAAAGATTCAGTAGAGAAGGGAAATTTCTGATGTGAGAGAGGCAAGGGAGAATTGCTGAGAAATATAACTGAGTGAGGGAGATGATGAGTTTAATGTGCAAGTGGAGAGATTGACCTTTGTAGAGTTTATCCTTCCATTTTACTAGCAGTGAAGGCAAAGCTCATGGCCACAGATGCTGGTTGGTGGATCTCATCTCGTTGCCCTAATTTCTTTTTTTTTAAAGAAATAAATAGATTTCTTTAACAAATACATTAATAAAATTGAATGTATAATTTAAAATTTTGCCACAAATGTTACATAAAAAAATAATACCAAACATAATTCCTATCAGAAATAGAAGAAACAATGTGACCAAGTTTATGATATTCATGTTACATTTTTAAAAATCAGATAAGGACATTACAGAAAAAAAATCTATATTCAATATTCCTCTTAAGCATAGATGGAAGACTCCTTAACTTGAACAATGCATAAGCTTAAATGAAAATAATAAACTTTCAGTAAAATTAGTAACTTCTTTGCTTTAAATATAATACGGACATGAGCAAATTTAGCTGAGATCACCAATAATACCTGGATAATCTACAGCTGCTCCCAAACAAATAAGTAGTCCAGCTCAAATCAGTCAAGTACATTACAGACTAGCTGAACTCCACAGCTCATGAGCTAATGGATGTTATTCTATTCTGCACATGTTTTATTGTTGTTTATCATGCAACATTATTGTGATAATGGAGAGTCCATACAAGAAAAGAAGCAATATTTAAAGAATGGTGGCAAATTTTCAGGATTGAAAACCATGTGAAACACAACGTATGAAAAATGTGAAATCATGTTGCATTCATGAACTGCAAAGGAGTTCAGTAGCCTGGATTACAGAAAGTATGCCTTAAGATATCTCAAAAAGTGCAAATAGGTTTTTAAAAGCTGAATTAGTAACAGCCCACTTTAATTTAAAATACAATAATATAAACCATGTTGAAGTTTTTACGGTAGGAAAATAATACCACAAAATCAAACTGTCCTAGGGCTTAAACTTCAAAAGATTGTGAAGGCATCATTTACATTTTAACTATGGACCAATGTCCTAGGGCTACTGTAACAAAGTATAACAAGCTAGATGCCTTAACATGATTTCTTGTCTTACAGTTCTAAAGACTGGGTTGTCAGAAATCTCATGGTATCTCTGAAATCTGTAGCAGGGAATCCTCCCATTGCCTCTTGTCAGCTTCTGGTGGCTTCCCAGAAATCCTTGGCATCCCTTGACTTGGATCTATAGCACTTTCCATCTTTGCTCATCTATTTCCCTTGTGTTTCTTCTCTTCTTATAAGGACACCGGTCATGTTAGGTTACAGCCCACCCTAATTGAATATGTCTTCATTTAACTTGCTTTTATTTGTAAAAGCAAATAAAATGTTAATGTTATGTCACATATACTTCCAATTAATGTTATGTCACATATATTGTTGGTTGCCCTATTTTCTCAGTGAAAGTGGAAGCAAGGCCAAAGCTGAAGGTGATGCTGAGGGAGGAAGTAGTAGAGCGCTAAAGAAAAGGGAGAGAAGTAGTGTGCAGCAATAATATTTACTGCTATAAGGATTTTTTTAACCTCAACTCTTGCATGACTTGAAGACAGTTTTTTACATGAAGAAACTGTTTTGATAAAAAAGAAAAAGATTATATACCTGATAAAATAAGGGTTTCAGATGCCAAAACTTAGCTTTTCTGGAAAAAATATGTTCATTTATGGTAAGAACCTAGGAGTGTGTGTGTGCACCTGTGTGTTTCCTAGAGATTAATACTGGCTGTTGTGGTCTCAAGGCAGATTGTGAAGGTGTGAAGTTTGTAATTAACCTTGTGGCCTTTGGGGCAAATGGCATCTTCTTTCTCCCCTGTAATCATGTATTTTAGGCAGCTGTTTGTTCTGCCTACTTCGGCCAGTGACTTGCTGTTGTTGGTTTTTAATCTTCCATAATTTGCTAAGAATACTTGTTAATTAGTGACTCCTATCCTTCTGACTGCATTTGATGTTGTAGACTAGTCTGTTTTTGTATTCCTATGTATTTAATTCTGTGGACTCTGAAAAGGGGTACAGAAAAACAAATATGAATGTGCTAGCATGTTCATCTTGAACCTGAAGTATAAAAGTAAGTTACTTATAAAATGTACATATTACATAAATTTATATTAGATGACAATAATACTTCCTCAGAGAATGCTGATTTGTACCTTTGAGACTGAAATACATAAAAAAGAAAGGGTAGCAATCGATGGGGAAACAAAAATCTTGAGGGTGTGGCTTGGATTAGTCTTCAGGTTAATAAAATAAAGCTCTATTTAGGCAATGCCAAATAATTAACATGCACATACACTGTTACATTTCACTCCATTATTCTATTCTTTGTTTGGACAGTAAGTATGGAAATTTCTAAAGCAGAGGATGCTGGCACCATTGTAGAATACACATCCCTTGAGACATGAGCCTCAACCAGTCTTTCATTATGAGGATGCTAATCTACTTCTCTTATTGACATCACCCACTTTGCATTGTAAAGCAGTAATGTGGTAGTTACAGTATTCTTATTTTTATTGACAATCAAGAGAAAGCCATACTGGTGAGAGCTTTTGGGTTTATCACTGGATAGGCTCTGTAATTGATGAGTCCCTTATGAGAGGGGGGTCTCTCTTAACAGCATTCATTATGCACATCATCAGCTTTGCACAACTAACACTAATATGATATGCAAATTGATATTCACATCTTATTCTGCTCCTGCCCCTGATTAGGAAACAGAAAACCAAACTGTGGTTGTACCTTTATAACCCAATAACTCTCTGACATTTTAGAAAGTAAACGTTTTTGAACCTCAGGAGTTTTATATGAAATGTTTGGAGAACAGTACCATCCCTGCCTGTTTAACAAAGTAGATGAGAGTTTTAAATATTTTAACAGACATAGAAACCTCTTTTATTTGCTTCGCCTGTTCTCATCTCTTCCCTGTAGCATTTGGGTAGTATTTTAGTTTCCTCTGTATGTGTCTCTCCCACACCTCTTCTTGCAATTGTAGATATTTTTGCATGGCAACAACCTGAACAGTCTACATCAACTAATTCACCCTGAGATCCTGCCCTCTGAGTTTGGAGGAATGCTGCCCCCTTATGACATGGGAACATGGGCAAGAACACTGCTAGACCATGAGTATGACGATGACAGTGAATATAATGTGGACTCCTACAGCATGCCTGTGAAGGAAGTAGAAAAGGAACTCTCTCCCAAGTCCATGAAGAGGTATGCTGGAGGCAGACTGGGAAGTGGGCTGGGACTGGGGTGGCAAAGGACCCCTGAGTCTAACTCCATTTTTTTCCCCTGTATGTTTTTTTTTCCCCCCTTGGTTGAATTTTTAAAGCCTTTTGTTTTCCCATGATTGGATGTCTAGGCATTTTATGTCAAAGATGAAATCATTTTTCTTTTTTTCTTGTAGTGATAACATCTAAAACTTACTGTCTTAGTAGTTTTTCAAATAAAAAATGCATTACTGTTAACTGTAGTCACCACATTCTACATTTGATCCCCAGACCTTATTCCCCTATCTAACTGAAATTTTGTACCTTTGTCCAAGGTTTGTCCAATCTCCTGACCTCCTTACCCAAGGTCTGTCCTACCTCACCATTCTACTTTCTACTTCTATGAGTTCATTTTTTCAGATTCCACCTATACATAACAACATTATAGTCCATAAATATATGTAATCATTATTTTTAAATTAAAGAAAAAGATAACCTAAATTTAGTATTGTTCCAAATTCATGGACTTTCAACAAGGCCCTAAGAAGACACAAAATTTTCATACTGTACCCTGAAAGACCAAGACTTTTGATGGAATATGGAATACCTTAGACCAAGCAGATAGGATTCCCTATAAGAATAATAATTTTCCTCCTATCTAAGTAATTTATTGGTATTCTCTATAAGAGTTCTTTGAAGAAAAGGACCACACAGACACATGCATACACTTTGATTCAAACATTATATTCAAAACTTTATCTTCTCAATGTCTCTGTCTCTCCTAAATCTTTGTCTAAATGTCTAGCCATTCATAGTACAAAGCATTCTATTTCATTACAGATTTCATATTTACAAAGCATTAAGTTAAGTGGGAGTCCAGCTCCCTGCTTTGCCTCATGGCACTTTTGTGCATGTTTTCTTTCAGTTAATGGGTGTGTGTGTGTGGGGGGGAGCTGTAGACACAGACGCACAACTGGCTCTGAGTTAGCATCTTATAGCAAGTAAGATGTCAAATTCTCAGGCCTCCCCAGGAAACACTGACCCAGGGTTCAGTTTAATAATGGTAGCAAGTATTTCTCTGATTGATTTTTTCTATCCAAAAAAGTATGGGAACCACAACTCCAGCAAGTATCTCCTCACCTACCTCAAGGAGGAAACAAGAACATCTCACTTGCCATTGCCACAGGTCTAATTTAGGGGATGGCATGTCTGGTACCTTGTTCTGGTCTCTTTCATGTTGCTACTGCTTTTGTCATCTTTGTTAGTGTGTGTGTGAGTGTGTGTGTGTGTGTGTGTGTGTTGACTTTCTGTCTGTTACTGCACAAGTCCCTGAAGAAATATAAAGATTAGAAATTCTCCCTGTTGTCATTTCTCCATTAGTCAATTCGCTTATACTAAACCAATAGCCTTCTCAATTCTCTTCTCTTGGAACAGACATCTTAACTTGAGACCTATACTCTCCTAACCTAAATGGTTTATTGATAAGCCTCCAAAAGTTTCCATTAAAGTGATAAAAATCATGTGCAAAATCTTGTGTGTGTGTGTGTATAAATGTGTCTATATAGTGCACTTCTCTGGAGAGAAACATATGTTTCATCAATTTCTTAAAAAGTTTTGAAAACAAAAATCCTTAACAGCAATTTTCTATGAATAATTTTCTGCTAATAAAAGTTATTCTGATAATAATAGTTGTCAAAATCCAGCAATTCTTTTGTACATTTTCTGAGTAATGCCCTTAGTAGGTAACCTTTTTTACATTTATGAATTTAATCCTTATTGTAACTCTGCTAAATAGGTTTTATATCCTCAACACTACATAGTCTATTTAGTAGAGCAGGGTTACAATCCATGAGGTATGGAGTCTTTCATATTATTGATAAAAAGCCTGTCTATCCTTTCATGACAACACGACGCATGTTCCCTGACTCTGAAAACTGAGCTATATAAGGATTTGGAGACAGGTATCTTTGATATCAACCTAGTTTCCTCTCTTACCAGCTAACAAAGTCTTTTCCCTCAGACATCCCTCCTGAGACAAGTTAATTCACACAGTCCCATCACATGAGCACATTTTCCTCTACAACCTGGTACATCAGGGCAAGTTTCATTCAGCTCCCCTGCACCCTCCCCAAACCTTCTATCCTTACCCTGGCCTCATATTATCCACATGGCAATCAAAGTTAAGTCACTATCTGTGAGTTCACTGTTCACAACTGAGTAGGTGACATCTGATCCTATTATCACTACTGATAATCCTGGTTTTCCAGTATAGTCCTCATTGGCTTCTTTTTCTGATGTCACTGCTGCAGTCACTCAGATAGTGAAAGCACATTACTGACTCATATTGATTACCCTAAAACTGAGAAATCTTATTAATATAAAATCCTCCCAATTTTCTGTACTTAGCTTTTTTCTCAAGAACATTATTTTACTTGATTAGTACCTTCTTGTTAGATTTGGCTCAGCCTATCTACCATTTGAAATAATTTTGGATCCTAATTTGTTTCTCTGAGTAATTAGGACATTTTGTCCCCTTGGACTATAGCACTTTCGCTGCTCTGACCCTGTTTCTTGCTTCTGATGTGGGCCAATTAGAATTTTAGACATCCTTTAGTGTAAGTGTTGCAGCATGTGAAGTTTTTATAATTCCATTGGCAAATACCTGAAGTAAGATTTTATAAAAATTGTTCACTTGATTCTCTTGCTCTCTATATCAAAGAATCACAGTTTCCTATCAAGGATAGGAACAGATTTTCCCCCTATCCCCAACCTGCCCCCCATTGGCCTATTCTGATTCCTCTTGGCCTTTTTCCTTTCTCAGTTTTTTTATTAGCCTTAAAATGAAAGGCAATAAAATCATTTCTTCACCAAATGTTTCATAGAATTATTCTTGTGGGTGTATTCACCCCAAACATGGAAGAAGACAAACTTGCCCCTCTGTGTAAATTTGTGATTGAAGCACTTGGTCATGTTTAAAGATACAAAGTTCAATGTTCACTAGATCATGGGTATTTTAGAATCATGGAGTGTCTTACTTTATGTCTTCAGGATCTAGGATAGTGCTGGCACACAGCAGTTGCAGTGGGCAACAATCCTAATATTGTTACAGTGATATGTTCTTCTGATTTTATTGAATGATAATAAACATTTGTTGTTACTACATGCCAAATCCTATTCTACTCACTTGCATTTGCTTCTTGAAGCAAGTAATATGTTAGTACTATCCTAATATTACTGATGAAAACAAGACACATGTGGAAGTGACTTCCACGTGTTGAAACTACGCATTATCAATTTTAGTACAGAGGCAATCTTGTTCCATGAGCCATTTCCTTAACTACTACCATTTTCCAAATGCCAGAATTTATACTGGAGTTTATGCATGCATTACTGCATTTGTTCCTCACTATACCTGTATAATGTAGGGCTTCTTTCTCTGCTTTACAAATAAGAAAACAATATAATAGGAAGCTTAACTAATCTTATGATCACAGAACAAGTAAATTGTAATTATAGAAACTGAAATTGAAAGCTATCTCTCTCCAAATTCTAACTTCTAAAACACTTTCATATAGTGCAATATTGTAGCTCCATAATAAATGAAATAAATATTGGATTACTAAATTTAAATTAAAAAAAATAGAATAAATTAATTGCAAAGACAGGTCTTGCAGAGTCTCTTGAGATGTATTATGAGTTAACAAAATATCCCTCTACTACAGCTGGAATAAACTAATTCATTAACAGTCATGACTTTGAACAAACCATCATGTAGACTAAATAATGGTACTGTTGGGGAAGCTCAATACCAAAGAAAAATGTTAATCACAAATGGTTTCTGGTAGTTTCTTTTTTTTTTTTCTCTTTTTGAGGAATTGTTGTACATATGGAACCAGTATTCATCAGCCAACAATTCTAGCAAACTAGCTACTTAATCCCAGGTTGAACAGTATAATATAATTAAAAGTATTTTGATAAACTTAGGAAACAAACCTCTCCTTTTTTTCAATGCCCTCACCTTTATTTTCATTGTCTTTTGAAATGAATTCGTTTATTTAAATGAAGGAGTCAATTTGTCAGTTAATCCTGTAATTTTTTTGATAATTAGTTCCATTTCTGCTCTTTTTCATTAGCATGTGCTGTTGTGTTTTAGCTTTTAGTCTTTCTTCTCAAAAGTTAATGAGGTCTGCTAAGATGCACGTTGCCACAGCAAAGGCCAATTGTCTGGAATGTAGCAGCAGGGGAAGAATTCATTACGAAGGAGAATTTTAAAAGGGCGGCTGCTTCCTTAATTCTATAGCTATTAAGATTGCAACTTCCTGCCACAACAGAGCATGTTTCATTGATTTTCCTCCTTTCAGCTTTCATGTTGTTTCCTAATGGCAAGCTAGAATATAGTTTCTACCTGCTATCAAACACATGTAAAGAGGTTTTCAAATTATGTGTTTTCCTAATTACAGAGTCATACTGCCTAAGGATGAGTTTTACTTTTAAAAAAATTCTTTAAAAGAATTTCTTTGAGCTTTGAAGGGTAAAGTTAACTTTATTTAGCATTCTCATGTGAAATTTAACAAAGATCACATTTTGTTTTTTGTTTCTTTTGTTGATGTAATCATTAAAAAGGGATGGTTAATAGAAAAAGGCATATTTATGTTCAATTTTTTTTACAGATTTTGTTAGGGTGGAATCAATCCTCTTATCAATTCTGTTCAGTTTCTCAAAAACAATCATTTCACTGTGGTAATTTTTCCATTTGGAGACATTTTATTGGACAACATCACAGTGTAGTGTAGTGCCCTACACTAGGAATTCCTAATAAATCCAAGACTCTTGTTCAATGGTGAAGAGAAAAACTTAAGCCTGTTATTTTCTACTTAGAATTCTTTTCTGCTCACTATTCTATTCAGAGGCCAGAGGGGATTGCCAAACACTGCCATAAGTGTTTCTCTAAATGTGCAACATCCACAGTTCATAAATTCCTTGATGTGGGAAAGGAAAACCAACATGCGTGGGAAAAGCAGTAACAAAGAAAAGACAGAGAAGAATGTCATCTGGATAATTATTTGGTATTAATTCATTGACCTGGACTTTATATCCTTTCCAGATCCCAATCAGTGGTGGATCCCACAGTACTAAAACGCATGGATAAAAATGAAGAAGAAAACATGCAACCTTTGCTTTCTCTGGACTAATAACTTTCCCACATCTGCTCCATGGATTAGAAAAGAAAGGTATTGGTTTTCAGCGACAGGGACAGAACTATGAAGGAATACTCAGCTGGAAGCCTATTTATTCACGTTAATGTAGCATAATATATAATAAGGTATCAGGCTTTCCCATTTGCCTGAATCATGGGTGTCCTGGACTGGATTTAAAAAAAAAAAAGGTCGGTAATTTATTCTGTAAGTGCCATGTTCTTTGTAAATACAATGTAATATTCATGTCAAGTTTGTAAATTTTGGTAGTAATTTAATTTGGGAAAGATTGACTCAAAAGTTCTAGCCAGTGATATGAACTGTAACAAAAAGCAGAAAAGACAAACTAACAAAGCTAATTAGATGTAACTCTGTTTTCTATGAAGCCATATTTCTGCTATCATAGTGAGTTGTTTCATTGTTTTTCTCTGAAATTATGTCAGTATTCAAACATACTTTGAATGGGCACAGGGAACTAAATAATTCTAAGAAATTATCATGATAAATGCATTTCTATTTAGTAATTTTCATTTCAGAGAAGATGTGTTCTAGAACCATCACTGGCTTTGCATTTTGGAGACAAAGAGTAAGCAGATGAGCTGGTGAACTTAACAGTTGAACTCTTTTATGTTGTTGCTTAATTCTTGAAGCTTTGTGTAAATATATGTTTCCCCAGTTAAGACGTGGAGTTCTATAGACTCTTTCTAAACTGCTGACTTCACAATGTGCTCTTTGTTCGCAATCCTATTGTGTCCATGTCTGATGTACTTCAATTATATTTCCCCTAAAACTCTTTGACCAAGAAAATTCTCATACATGGATAGTGTATTAACAGCTAATTTTAAGCATAAAACTTGCCACTTACAAATAAAGGGGCTAACTTCTAATTATTGTATACTTGTTGAAAAATGTATATATTCTCACATATATTTTTATTGAGTTCCAACAAATCCTTGATGTGAAAGGCTTATAAATCATAAATATTAGTGGTTATAGATAATTATGAATTACGAGATGCTTAACTTTCACTGAAGTTAATGAAAATGAGAAATACTGAAAGAGACTTTAGTGTACCTAGTTAAGGGAATGCCAATATAATACAAAGTTGAATATGTGTCACGTTAGTGAAATATTTTTTTCCTTCAAAGAAGTAAAGGTCTCAACACAGTGCATATATCAGGCAACAAAGAGTAAAATAGTTTTTCTAAAATTCAGGTGAATTATCCTAATGTTCATTTCAATCTTTCAGAAAAGATTGAAAGAATGCACTACATCTAGGAGATGTAATGAAAGCACCTGAGGGTATCTAAGACAGAATATAATAGTTTAAATCTGGACTTGAAATCTATAGATTATTTAAAGTTTTCTTTTATAAAGATTCTTCAATTACAAAAATATTTAAATCTTATTTTAATTTAATTTAAATTTCAAACTCCAGGGTGAAAAAAAGCAAGATTTTTAAAATCACTATTCCAACATGATGATAAGATTGAGAATTTACCAGTAGAGTGTTCTTTTGAAAGAAAAACATCTTTAAGAACTCTTGGAAACCAGCATAAGTAAAGTCATGTATAGACTTTGCATACTTTTAACCAAAAGTGTCAAAAATTCTGGTTGTAAATACAATTTACAATCTTAAAATCAAGTCAATACTCCAATTCTGGAGTATAACAATGGACTTTCTAGTAGCTGTAAAGATACAAAAATTAAAATGAATTTTCAAAAGGTACTGTAAGAAGAATGACAATCTCCAATCAAGTGCAGAAGAATAATGGCTGCTACTCTGCTATGCATTGCTACAGAGTTTGGAAGGAGTTAGAGATTAACAGCCACAGCAGTTCTTATTTCTATAAGAATACTAACTGTTGATGTAGCCATGTTTTTGTCTACCTGGAATACATTCTCTGTTCCTGGGCTTTACATATTATATAGACATGTTCTAGGCAGTATGATCCATTGCAATGAAAAAGAATCAATGTAATTGCAGAAGGGCAATCAAGTGTTCATTCTCACAAGTTTCTCTTGATGTGCACATTAGTTGGCCATTTCCAGACTTCCATGAGCTGCAGATGTCAACCAGCATATCCAACTTCCCCTATCATGAAGTTTGTATCGTATATAAAAGTAACTAGTATTCACATCCTCTGCCATCCCCTCATTTGGAAATATTGTATTGGCATTGCTAAACATCTGCTCTTCTTCAAACAAGCAACTGAGAGTTGTCTAGATTGTGTAAAATATTTAAAAATGAATTAAGTTGCAACATTGATGTCTTTTGAAATTGCTATATCTAGTTCAGTCTTTGAGTAAACTCATTTTCAAGCAATGTTTTTGAAGCTGCTTAGTCAAGGGATATCTATTCAACATTATAAATTTTCCCCTCAGCACAAGCTAGCAGCTTTAGATATTTTCCCCCCTCGTATTGGTTGTCCAGATCACATAATTATGTTTATTATTACACATCCTAGTGAATAAGCATCACTGTATTTTCTCACTCTAATTGCAATAGTACACCACTGCTCACTTATATTCACATGCACACTAGACTGGTTCAATAAATTTGTCTCACCACTTTGAGATCTGCATTTTGCTTTTATAGTTATATTATTACTTGAAATTTGTGGACTTTAAAGAGTTGCCACATTGATTTGGGATATTACAGAAGTACATCTACTTTTTTTTGTGGTGCTGGGGTTAAAGCCAGGGCATTGAGTATGCTTGGCAAGTGCTCTACCACTGAGCTATATGCCCAAACCCCATTTATGTCTCTCACCCTGCTAGTTCCATCGTTTATTCTGCTCTCTTTCTTCCACTTTCAGGGGCAGCTGCTTCCAAAGCTGGTTTAAGAATAAGTATCTTCTCTTGTTGTGTTGCCAGTGATATTTGCACACATATTTGACTACTATTAAAAAAAGAAAATATACTCTAAGAATAATGAAGAAGTGCCTCTTTAAAAATAAAATAGGGCAGTAATAATGACATATTGTTTTTATTTGTACACTCTTCCAAAAATTCAGTATATGCATATATATTACAAGGGTAAACCATAAATATAATTTGAAGAAGGACTTTTGAGGGCTTGCTTTGAATATTTTCATATAGTATTATCTATTGTGTAAGTTCAACACAGTAACTTTAATCCATGCTTTTTAAAATATAGCACTGTGCTAAAATAATATACAAGCATTAGAGTTTCTCAAGCAAGTTTTTCAAGTGAGCATGCATGATTTCTTTTATTTCAATAATTGTTTGCATAAGTATAGGCAGAACATTCCACAAGTCTTTTCATATGAAATGCTTGTTAACTTTTAGTTCTAAAATACATATATTCATAAACAGAAAAGGCAAGTAAGTAGTTCGATTTAATCTTGTTAATTCATAATACTAAATTAAACATTTTAAGTTACTGTAATATTCCTGAGGGAACAGAAGTCAGTCTATTGCTTCAAGGAAATGAAGAGTTGTTTTAGACTTTGGGGAATGTACTTAAGACTCTTCACAGAAAGAAAACTTCAGAGCTATAAAAGCCTGTCTTCAATCATAGGCATCCTTCAGTTCTCCAAACAAACCTACATGTTTATGGCCATGTCTGTGGCCCATTAAAGAAGTTACAGCAAGAAAGCCTGTTAAGAGGCTGTGCACTCTTCTGTTTTATTTGATGGTCTGCCTTGTGTGGTTGGTTAATAATTTTGCTTTGCTTTTTTTGTGTGTGTATGGGTATATTTATTAATGATTATTTGAAAAGTTTCCATCAGTCATGGAGACCTTCAAGGAAGATTTTTCACGCACAAAGTAAAATGAGCAGAGTTCTGCTATTATATTTGAACTCCTAGATATGGTATTTACATGTTTGATACCAATAGGCTAATAAGAATGTATTCCATTTTAGATCTGCTATATGGACACATACCCTAAAAACATATTAGTGCATTTTAAATTTGTGAGGCAATTAGTTCCTGCAAGAATAGGTGGATTATATGCAAGCATATTGGTATAAAAGAAGATTGGTTAATTGTCCAAGTTGTATATTATTTTTAGTAATGAAAATGATTTTTTTTACTTGGAAAATCAGCTTCCCATGTGCTTTTGGAACAATTTGGCACTGTTTACTACTTCAAAAGGGGAATTAAATAGAAATACAAAAGAGCCTTGACTTTATAATGCTATCAGATCATAACACTAATAGCTTGGAGAATATAATTTTTCACAAGTTCAAAGTTTTGTTTCATAAACATCTGGAGGTCAAACCCATCCAAGAAAGTGTAGTGTTATATAGTCTATTATGTGATGCATATGGGTCTGAATTCTTCTGGACTGTAGGAAAAAGTATAAAATTTGCAATTCTGGATCTCAAATTGGATCTTTTATTCAAACAGTATAAATGATGCTGCTAAAATATATTTGAAACCAAATAATTATAGCTATAACAAATGCACATTTATAGGAAATACTGGAAAATGTTAACAATTTAGAAAGTGTTTTGTAAGCAGTTGACTTAGTTTAAATTCTATCCTTAATGTTGTCAGTACATTGATCCTGTCAAATTTTTTTTTATGAATGAGATAGACCTAGGTGAGAATTAAACAAAATTTTAACAAAACTTTAAGTCACAAATTAATCCCCAACTATCGTGAAAATATTCCAATGACCTATTACTGGTTTATATATCACAGAGTCTAAGATTGTCTTATTTTTTATCCAGTTTATTTTCAGACCTTGTGTTTGTTTAGAAAAGAAATAAAACTTAGAAAATGAAATAAATTTTGTTTTTAAAGAAGTCCAGAAAAAAAGATCTTAAAGGAAATTATATAGACTTTTGGAAAATGCTAAGCACATTACTACTTTGGTCAAATGTTATTACTGTTACCACTATATACTATTTATGTACTAAATACTATTTACTCTTTGAACTTTGCAAGGAGTTGTTTATTGCAAGAGAATATTATAATTGCTGTAACTCTAATAAGTATGCAGTTCTCTTATTTTGCATATGGTGGATGTTGAGTTTTGAATTTACTGAGTCCACTGTGTCTGGAAATTTAAATTATATCATCTAAAAATGACAATAATTTTATTTGGAAAGAAATTGTTAGTTATTTAGGTTAGCACACCTCAAATTTCTGATATTTATATGTATAAACTTAAAGGGAAAATATATACTTTGTCTCATAAAATGTACTTAGTTTCCTATAATTTCTCGACAAACTTTTATAAGATAGTTTGAAAGAAGTTAGCTTTTAAATTGTATGTAACAATACAAGGGTCATTAAATAAAATTAGGTTTTCACATTTTCAAAGAAAACTGTTGGTTTCAACAAGAGACTAAATTCAGAAACTTGAATTACAAAAAAATCTCTACATTTATTTAAATAAGTTCTATAAAAATAATCCAAGGTCAAAATTTTAAGTAAAATAAATACATTTAGCTTGACTTAAGAAGTAATGTTTACTCAAAAACTACAAATTTGTGCATTCTGCAATTTCACCTTGCTTACCCTACCTGTGGATGAAAAGTCATGAAATGAGGTGGAAGAGACTAGTTGCATTTATCTAAAACTTTAAACAATAGGTTTTATGACTTTCATTGTCCCAAACTCAGAGGATTTTCCTGTGCATGACTTTTGAGGTTATCAAGAATCATTATTGCTGCTTCTTCCTAAAGCTCTATTATGAGCCAAGTTTCT